GTTTCAGTGAGGACGAATTACATTGATTCTACCCCCTGCGTGGAATTAAAGTTGTTTTTACGTCAAATCAGCGCTTCCCGCTGACGAGCCTTCTTCGGGCATATCCTATCCGATATTTTGGCCCGAAGATTGCTTCAAGAGATAGGGTATATGGCCGCGGGACCTCGCGGCCAAATGGGGTGTACTGTGTTCACGGGATTCCATTCGCTTCGATTTGATAGTTCCATCTCAGAAGCCTGCATTGCGTAAGCAAGAATTATGAAAACCAGAATGGCGAGAGCCTGAATTGTGTAAACCAGAAGTTCTGGAAGCCCGAATCGTGGGAGCCCGACTCCGAGAGAGCCGGATGAGTGGGAGCCCGAATCTATGATGACGAGGGGAAAAACACCAAACTTTCAGATGTACGGAGGCGGTATGGAACTTCATACCCCTTCTCATTATTCGCTCGAAAGACCGCTTGCGTTTTTTTTGACGCATTCAAGTCAACGGTCAAGTCAGGTCTCGCATGACATATCTTTCGTCTCTTAAATTGGGCGAAATCAACGCTCAGGAGAATACTCCATCGGGGTTCTCGCCCCGAACTCGAAATTCGAGTTGGTCTGTCCGACGAATCAAACGCTCGTTCAAGCAGTGGCGTATTTAGGGGGGAGGCTAAGGGGGATATAGCCCCCCAAGATTTCTTCTTCACAATGGTGAAACATAGGAAAGGACCGCCATCTTGGAATCTCAGCCCCGCCCAAGATTCTATCTAGCCCCCCCCCAAGAAAAAATCCTGCATACGCGACAAGATACCTTATTTGGGCGATAGCTTCGGCGAGGCTTGCTAGGCTGGGAGCAGAAGCCTGTCCGCCTTTTTCTTGTCTCCCTGTTTTCAAGAATTTTATGAGCTCGGAAATATTTACTTGGCCCTCCCAAATAGTACGGCTCGGGAGCTATGCCAAGCCTCAATGTGATTAGTCGTGTGCGCGCCGTAGTACGATACGAGACCCAACGATTGGACCCTGCTCCTCAGACATTGGTTAAAAAGGAAATTGCACCCTTCAATTGCCGACGATTGGAACTCGTCTTGGATGGCGCGGAGGGTGGCTGCTTCAAGGTGCAGCTAGAATGCCAGAGGAGCGAAAACTTCTCCGATCGAAGAAGCGTGATCCTTCAACAATCGGAACAACCTACAGTCTGTTTCCTTCCTCTCATCGGGCAGCGGGAAAATGCTAGAGGGGAGAGCTGTCCCTTGCAAAAAGAGTGTACAGCTGCGTGAACAATCGCGGTACCACCTCGAACGTGCTCTTGATGAAGACGGCCGGGGACTCACAAGGGTCTATCTGGAGCCAGAACCGAGGGTTCCGTTCTCGGAACCATCGTCGAAGAGAAGGAAATCTTCGCCACGGGGTTTCGGCCTATTCCCCTGTCTCGAACCGGCGTCCGGTGAGACTAGGTGAAAGGTAGATAGGCTCAAAGAAGAGCGTAAGTCCACTCAGTAAGTGGAGCTTTTCGCGGGCCCTTAGTGACGAGCTCTGGTCTGAACACGTCGTTATTTTAGTGTGGATGGAGGCATGGCTATGCCTTCCTTATATACCGTTACTCCCTTCAGAGGGGGCGAGACGCGGCGAGCAGGCGCGTCGTCGTCACGGCGCCCTCGGGCCGTTAGTAATATCAGTGTATGTGACAGCAGGAATCGATTCGCGATCGATCCCGTCGTAGTCATACATTTATGATAACAAAAATTGCCCCCTGTGACCACACCATAGAGAAACAGAATATAGGCTGTTTACCATCTATATCTGGTGCTGGTGACGGGTAGGTGACACCCACTCCACGACTATGTCTTCTCGATAACGCCCCCGAACGACATTCCTCAAGTCGTCCTGGAACGACCGTCGCGCGCGCGCGCGATACAAGGTAGCTCTCGCGCGGTCATACGAGGTGAGGGAGGCTCCGAGCTCCTCGTCTCCGTAGGAATCTTGGAGCTTCCGCACCAGTCCCGCGAGGGTCTCCGAATAGATTCGTTCGACTCCTCTTTTGTCCTGCTCGAGAACCGCATCCTTCATCCATTCGCTCGGATTTGATTGGATTGAGTCGGAGCCTCTCGGGCTAGCACGGGAGGCGGCGAAAGAAACTGGGACGTGAAGGCATCGATGTCGTTTCTGACGAAGAGTCGCCGAGAACGTTGAGGCTAGAGATGAGTGGAAGTCCGAAGAAGTGTGGGGAATCTTCGAAGGAAGGGCCATATGTCGGACACAGATCACCTCCTTCAACTCCTTCCCATGAGTGACGAGGATCGCAATGGCTTTCGGCCTCGCCATCAAGGATGAATCCTGTCATTACCGTATTGTCGCGACCAGGGCTTAGGAGCAGGTTGTTGAAATGCAGTGCGATTCCGGACGAGATCCCGATGGCATGGATCATTGAATCTCTGATGGCCGAGATCGGTCGCGGTCAACGACGGCTGCTCGAACTGGGAGTTCGAAATATTTCTGAAGCCCCCCAGGGCCGGGAAACCCGTTTCGAATGAATCCTCGCTGGGCTATGAGTCTGGGCTCGAAGAAACAATTGTCTATCTGATCTCCCTTTTGCTCCGATGGCGATGATCATGGATCATAGAAATAAGAGAGGAAATCGCGACTAGATCACAGTCGGTTAAGAAAGAGAGACGTCATGTGGCGTGCGTATGCTTACATGTATGGATATAGATGATCATCGAGCCCCATCGAACGGCAGGAGCGGGACTCAGAGAGAGCCTAAGCGAATGTCCCATGATATTTGTCTTCGGAGCCGTAAACCCGTTCTCTGGAAGAGGGACTGCGAATGCCGAGAGTTTCTATCGAATTAATCTAACACGATAAGCCGCTAGCCCCAAGTGTCCTGTCGCTGATATGGCCGATGCAAATCGCTCGAACGAGGCATGTCCGGGAAAGTTCTCCGCGGGATTTTCAAGGTCTACTTGGAGCTGCGCAGGGCGCTGTCCGCAACAGACTACGGGCTTTTGGATATTTAGACTGCGCACCACAATCGCATACCTGATGGCGGTGCCGTTACTCAATTCGCGACTAATCGGACCAATTCTGTCCAGACAATGGCCGAACGTAACACACACGGGAACGCTTACGAGGAACACTTTTCGTCTCTCTTTCCAGCATAATTGCAGTGCGTTTGACACCCATTTTCCGTGTCATCTACCGAGGAATCCACGGCACAGCCAAGTATGAAGATAAATGTCAAGATGTACAAGTCGAGAATAATCGAAGGGAAGCTCCGGAAATTAGCTGGACGCTTCGGGGAACAGTTAGCTTCAATCTCGATCCCCTGAAGATTCCGCCATGCTTTGTTGCGAATAGAAGGCCACGAGACGAAGGGCGAACGAGTTGTTGATGCCGCTTGGTTGCGCCACTGCTGCATTGCTCGCCGCAACAACAAGTCTCGATAATGGATAATCGAGAAATGATACCTGTTTAATGCGTTGCCTGTCAAGACTGTACATACCACTGCCGATATTCCATAAGGGGGTATTCGTAATCTACCCGAGTAACTTATTTTCATGTTCTGATGACGAGAGACGAAAGCCTTGTTGTCGAATGAAGAACAACTCCCGTAGGGTCAGCCATTCCACAGCTCTGACCTTCATATTCTCCAATGCTAGTTGAACCTATCCTCGGAGGAAACGAGGCCCAATTTGGATATAGCATGTTTCCCCGAATATTTATACGTCCGGGCCTTATTTTCTTTCGACCCTCAAGAAAGACTCCCGAGCTCACTTTCAGGGGGTGAGGGGGTCATTCCAATTCACTGGACACAATCCCGGTCTACGAGGAGAGACTTCAACCATTGTCTTTACTCGACAATCACAATGTCATCCCCCTCTGCAGAATCTTCATCGAAGTCTAGTGAAGAAGTCGTGAAGCGAAAAAGTTGAAGACATGCCTCAAGATCTTGCGCTTCGATCTCCGTGCGTTTTCGGTCCGAGTCGGTCATGTTTGCCGATGTAGGTGATCTCAAATCCATGAGTTCCATAGAGATAACCTGACCTCTTCGATATTACCGCCGAAGCCCTCAAGGTCCATTCGCCAGCCGCGCACCACACCAATATCGAGCTTCCTATCCTTGCAGGACTGAGCCGAATTTCCTGCTCGTCACCACACAATGTAACCAGTGTCGGAGCGCTCTTCGTTCCGATGAGTCACGAAGCGTTCTTAACGACAGCGATAGTGGATCATTCCGTGAAACTCTCTACGTGCATCTGCGTCTAGCTATAAGCTGTAAGTCTCATGTCAACGCTTCCTACGCGGTGCGCGAATCGGAGAATGAGTACTTCGGCTTCGGGGAGAAATCTGAGTGAGATCTGTTTCGAGCTCATTTCTGCCCACTGAGGTTTTTTCGGAGGATATCTTATTCTAACGCCAAGTCCGCAAATCTAGACAAAGCTTATACATTCGGGGAAACACGGTAGTTGAGACGGAAGCTCAGAGCTTGGCATTAGATATCTCTCCCACGGATAAGGTAGAGCTCCAATACTATACGGAATCGATTCCTCGGTTGTGATAATTGATAATAAGCTTGTCTGAATCTTCCCGCGTGGGTCATGAGATCTCGTTTTGCTAGTCACCCATTGTGGGCTGATGCCTCCGTCGGAGGGTAATCTCCCATAGGATCCGAGTTCACTTCAGGGAAGCATATCTTTAGGGGCATTTCTCATGGGAAACCTCCCCGATTGAGAAGTCGACATACGGCGTGGGCGAAGCATCCAGCCTCGGAGTAATCCGTCTCGGACGCTAACAGTGACTTAAGTAATCCTCATCCTTCCCCATGCTCATCGATCCGCTCCCCGGTGCGGAACATGCACTCACGGTTCCGCGGAAAAGACGATCGGTCGTCTCTGGGGGTGCCTTCATTCAGACCTGTCTGGTCCTCGGCGCACCGCACTCACGACTCACGACCCTTGAAATTTTCGCGCGCCTAGACTTTGTTTGGCGACTTGTAGCAGACCGCAAGAGTCTCCAAACTCCAAACAAACCGAGGGTGTAGGGAAAAATTCTCCCCCACATGTCACCATCCCAGGTCCTAGAGTCGTATCCTAAGTATTCTTAGCCGCGAAAGAGGCCAAGGAGCCGTGGAAGATCAGCTGAGTGGCAGAGTTTCACGAATTCTCCGTCGCGGCGAGGACAGGAGCTGGAAAGATGATTGGAGACGTCGGCCTGTTCGCTTTCAGCCTGTTTGACACCGGTGGCTTACTTTTTTTGACAGTTTATGTGGTGAGTGGTGGAAGTATTCTGGTTGGAATCCTGGAGGTGGGGAAGGCACTAGAGGGAGAGCATTGCGGAGCACTCGAGAGGTATCTTCGCTCATTCGCTTGGAATGCTCCCTGATATCGGCGATTCGTGCTGGACCTGCCGAGATTCGTCCGGCGATTCCCTCTGCGTGGGAAGAGAAAATTTCCGGAACAATTCTTGCGGAAGTGTCTCTGCTTCGAATAATTCGAGGGGAGATTCCGAATTCCGTTGGAATCCGAGCGGTGATGCGTCGTTGAGGGAATATATCTTGACACCGCTCGTCCGTGCATGCTCGCCGACAAGCACCGAAGAAGGCAACCGGGTCGAAGTTCTGATTCCTAACTTAGCCATGCCGGAATTCTGAAACTTCTCCAGCGGCGGGGGGATGTCAGACTTTGCGAGTTTCGCGAAAAACTCTCGGGCAAGGCATCAAGAGTTTGAATAGCGATCCAGGGAAGCGAAAGATTTCAGAGCAATCGAGATCACGTTGCTTCCTCCCCGTGGAGAATCCGTTCGAAGTTCTTGCTCACATTTTCGATTCTGCAGGTCATAACTCTGTCGGACCTTGAGTGCGATTACCTGAACGCCCAGGAGTGCTGTACGAAGCTGAACAAGGTTAGTCTCGAGGGTCACGCGGTCAAAAACATATACAGGGCGAGGAAGATTTCGACTCGCGCAATGAACTACGCGTGCTACATCTCGAAGTTTTGTCAACTTTTCCAGTGGGTCACAACCGAAATGGTCGCTCAGGCCGCTCTCAATATCATGCTCCTACTCGTGAATGGTCACTGGATTCTATTCCTCGTGAACGCTCCTCTTACTGCTTGGTTGCTTTATCGGTAGGTCCATATCCTCGATCGTTCCTAGTACCAGGAGGAGACGCGCGGTACTTGGACCGCCTGGGGACAGGCAGGGTGCCAATTGATTCTGATTGATGGGTTGACGCGGCGCCTTCTTTCAGGGTGTTGAAGGTTCCTGGGGGCAATTTCGGCGTATATGATCCCACAGAAATACATAACCGAGGATCGCTGAAAGTGCATATGCGAGATTCTGTGATCCGACTCGCCTACTACTTAACGATGTTTTTCATCTACCTCTATTGGTGAGAACTCAGACACGATGCTATTTTCTCGCGGGCATCGAATGTCAGTGATCAGCCAGAGATCTCAATTTGATACTTTCGATATTACAGCATGATACTCAGCCTCCTCACTCGCACAAGTCCGAGAACAGTGGGAGCGGCGGGAGAGTTCTGAAGGGACTCTTCATCAAACTCTGAATGGAGTCGGTCTGCAGCCCCGTCTGAAGCTCACGGACTTGATTCCATGAGGCGCTGAAATGTTCAGCACTTGTTGAAAAGAGCCTAAGGCTATATGCGCTCATCGTTACTTGCGCCGGAGCGACGAGCGCTCAAATTCACCGGATGTGAAATGATTTTCCCTCGAATCCCATCGATCGTAGCTCTTCCATGTTGTTGAGAAATTTCACCGGAGCCCACCGCGTCTCAATCCCAATCACTCTAAACATTCCTTGCGCGAGGATCACTTAGGAACTACAGAAATCCTCAATCCGAAGAACGGAAGGCTCCAGTCTTCTAGCGATATTTTAATCCGTTCAGGGCACAAATGTTTGTGCCAACTCTGTATATATGCCTCCCGACGGACATCGGGAACTTGAGAAGCAAACGCCGCGAAAATAATAAACATGTCCAATATGATATCGATTATTTCCCCTATCGAAATTCCTATCAGCCAACGTCATGGTCTGCATCCGCCAGGCTCTCCTTGGGAGAGGAAGTCACCGAGAAGCTCAATAGCCCAGAGAAGCTCAGCTCGTGTTTTCACAGGTCCATCTGCTTTTCGGTAAGGAAGAAGAAGATTCCAAACCATTATTTGGTTCTTTATTACAGCATCAAAACCCATGACCAGCTCTCCGTCTGCCCGTGTACTTCGTGTCGGGCTTCGCTTCCTTCCCCTGCTTCCGTCGTCTCTCTTTCTTCTCCTTGATCCACTCGACTCGAGACTTGACATTTTTCGCTCCTCGTTTCCCCGCGAACTGGAAACAGCGTGACCTTCATTAATAAGCCAAAATAGTGGAAGACGCGGCTCACAATTTCGAGTTCTAACCTTTTCCCGCTTGGTGAATTGTGCGTGATTCACTTCATTTTCCGTCCCCAGCGCCGAGGGCAATCTCTGCTGACCCCCGGTGAATAGAACGAGGAACATCTTCTTAGCCTTCGCACTGTTTGGATAGTCGATGACGAGCCCACCTGTGAATGAGCGGGCACGTTGATTCCATGAACTTTCATTTAGCATTTCAAGAAGATGATCGCTCACGGTTTCCTGCAATACCGAATTGAGCACCAACGATACGATCGGAGTCGAACTAAATGTCGAATCGTACCTGTGAAGCCGGCTTTCATTGCCTGCTGCGTGATCAGATCCACCTGGTCTCCGGACTCTGGGTAAAACTGGAAAACAGCCCTCGATCCCCTCGACAACGCAGCATACAGGCCGCTGAAGAATTTCGCGAGTCGTTTCACTGGATGGTGGTACGACTTGTCTACATTGCATAGCCATTGCAGAGCTGAGATCGAGATGGCGCCATCGAAAGTTCCTGCTCTGAAAGGCACTCCATCACCCATGTCGGCCATTATCAGGTCGCCGCGAACTTCTCGATCTGAGGACGGGAAAACATTAAGGGACGATTCGAGACGTCAATTCAACAATGGCGAAATGTAGTAACAGCTTGCCCGTCGGCGACTTCCATCCAGCAGTAGTTAGCCGAATCCCAATCTGAGAACCCAATGTCTCTTCGAGTCTGTCTAAGCTCTCTCTCGAAAAATGTCAGCGTCTGACTCACCTATGGCAACTTCCAGCATTGCTGCGCTGATATCCATTCCGATCCAATGATGTCCCTGTTCCGAGATGGATTCTCCACTGAGGCCAGAGCCGCAGCCAATGTCTAAGAGGAAGAGCCCCTCGGCGTCTTCAGGAAGAGCGAGGAGTTCTAGAGCTCGCTCCGACATTTCGCTTTGAATTCCAATGATTCGAGAATTTTGTGAATATTTCTTAGCTTCACTTTCATTGTAGAAAATTTCCGGCGGAGCTTGATATTCAGGTCGACGAGCCATTATCGATCCTAAGCTGAAATGAGCTCAAGAACAGGAGGCGAAATAAAAGTTCGGTCACAGAACTCTCGGAACTCTCTCAAAGAAACTGAACGACTGGCGCCCGGCGGTAGGTGTACCGTGTTTTCAAAACAATAACATTGCCATGTGTTCTTCTAACATGCGAGGGCAGATTCGGCTCCTCAGAGTCGAAATCGCCTCCCGAGCTAACGGTGAGCGAGAATGCTCGAACCCGGGTTGCGCAACCGGGGCGGAGCTCGACGAAACATTGTGCGCGGGAGTTCTCGACGCATGTAAACAACTCCCTGACTGAATACTAGAATCGTTCGCACGAGGAGCCGCAGTCTGGGAGTTGTCGAGTCAAGATAGATCAGCTGGCGCGCTGTACACAAGTCCCTCGCACTCGCCCTCATCGCCGTGTGCAGCTGTTTCTCCGGATTGTGTCTGAGTGAGCCTGAGAATATCCCCCGGATCGGCTCGCAGGATCCAGTGCGAGGATTCGAGAGGAGTTTCCTCACTCCGGAAATGTTCGCCCGGTATTTGATCCGGAGACTCCATGTATCATCGGAGTTTCGTCTGCGAGCAGGGGCTCAGAGCATGCCGCGCACCTTGGGGGACTTCCATGAAACTGTGACGACCCCGCCTCAGCATGAGGGGAATCGCGTTCGAGTAGCTTTTATCGGGGATCCCAACGTGGGGAAAAGCACAATCATCAACAGACTCGTTGGTAAGTGCTCACGACTAGACCTCTCATGGATCAGCATCAGCACGCACACACTCGAGTCGACCGAGTGTCGTTGAATCATCGTGTCTTCATTTCTTCGCAGAGAAGGACATCTGTTCAGTGTCGAGAAAACCTCACACAACGCGTGAATCCTACGACGTCGCACTGACCACCGATGAGCTCCAAATGGTTCTCGTGGACACGCCTGGTGCTATACATCGGATACACGCTCGAAAGCACCGACTACCCTCGGAAATGGTCGCCGCGCCTGGAAGAGCTCTAGAAAACGATATCGACGTTCTTGCCGCTGTCATCGACGCATCGGATGTTTATCGTCGAGAGTATTTGAGTCTCGAGATGCTGAAATTGTTACATCAGCATCGGATAGAGAAACCGGATGGATGTAGCATTCTCGTTCTAAATAAGGTGAGAGAATCCATGACTGCCATAGTGGTTTAACCCAACAAGAAGACTAGTTCCTCTCTCTACACAATTCCTGAAGAGATGCGTCAAGGGAACGAGAATTCCGAATGAATTGATCTTCCAGGTCGACGCGGTCCCCAACAAGCGCGATTTGCTAGGCTGCATCGAGAGTCTGTGCAAAGGCACGGTCGGCAACCAAAAACTGCGGAAATGGGAAGTCAAACCGGACATCAGTTTGAAAGAAAAGATCTGGCAGGCAGAAGAGCGTCGACGAATGAAAAAGGTAGCTTCACCATCTGATATTTCTCACAAGCCCCTAATCGGATACACGGCAGTGCAACTCTGAGCGACTCTCTTTCGAAGGCAGCGAACGAGGACCCTATCGCTGAAGAACGATCTGAAGATCTCGAACGATCCAGTGAGAATCCCGATGAGGGGACATATAAGCAGCGGTACCCGCCCAGGTTAGAGACTTGGACACACTTCGAGCGTGTCTTCATTGTGTCGGCAACTAAGAACGACGGTATGGACGATTTGAGGGAATACCTATCGAGTAGGGCCCAGAAGGGCATCTGGCAGTACAGGAAGGAGTTCATCGTGAAACAGGATCCCACGGAGCTCGCCGAGAGTATCGTCAAGAGCAAACTGCTCGACCATCTTGACAGAGAGGTTAGAGTTCCGATAATAATTAGCAATCGTCGATTCCTCCTTCGTTCTTGGCTTCGCCTGATGTGGTGTCATCAGCGGCCCATGAGCTGAGCGGTTTTTCTATCTTCTTTTGCAGGTTCCGTACCTACTTGTCCCTAGAGTCATGAATTGGTTCCTCGACGACGCCGGATCCCTCCATATCGACATGAATATCCGATGCCAGACCGATCGGCAGGTTACGACGACTTTAGGTAGAGAGGGAAGGATCATCGCAAAAATCTCTGACGCATCACGACAGCAGTTGTGTAACGTTTTCGGCTGTGAAGTAGTTCTTAAATTATTCGTGCTCAACGTGAAGTCGACAAAGAAACCGAAGAGTGATGATAAAAGGGTAGCAGAGAGGAGCTCCTGATGAGATTTTCTGGCAGGAACGAGTGAAAATCGTTGGTACATACACAACACACATTGTATATGCACAATTGTAAATTGAAGTATGCCGGTCAGGGACTCACGCCTTCCGAGGAATAAAGTCGACCATTCTGCCACGAAAGATCTGCGCCCGGAACCGTACGTTCACGCTGTGTACATATGACATCACTTATATTGTATCGGTTTTTTTCGGAATATTCCCAGGTTTCTTGAGGACACCGGGATGGCCGACTTGTCTTAATGCTCACGCCATACATTATTGTGATATTCTGTGGAGGGGCGCCTTAGCCCCGAGTTGGAGGCACCAGTCGAAAACAATCAGAAAAAATCCCCGTGTCCGGGATCACGTGATACGTTCTCTACGGGACGACCCAATCCTGCTGCATCGATAAGAGGAAGCAGCGAGTTGCATATTTGTGGGAGTTTCAGTGGCGAGGCAGAGCTTCACCTCGTACTTACTCCAAAATATGCACAGTGGAACCTCGTTATAACGCAACCGGTTATGATGGATGCTCGGTTGCATCGAGCTGACTGCTCGGTCCCGGACAAGCTTGTGGATTTCAATTGATTCGGCAATAGCGAACCCGATAACAAGCTTTCGAATGCAACAGACCTTTTCCAGGCCCCACTCCTATCCCCTCCAATGCTAATCATATTGGTTCTGAGGACCTATCCCTGCGAGTAGGAAATTCGGAAGCGATAGCGTATCAGATGATGTGCGGGGGTTTTTCGCCCTTATGCGCGTTGCGAGCAAGGCCGCAGCGAAGTTTCCGACGATATTCATGCTCCATACCGATTCGGATCCCTTCTCCGGATGAAAGGGATTCCGGATATCAAAAGCGCTTCGGACGGCGTTTTCGAATCCGCCATAAGAGCTCTTGGAGGGCTGCGCCACACCGTCATCTCGACGTGATTCCGGCGAAAATAAAATCCTCCACAAGGTCCCTGCTCCATACTCGAGATGAGGATTTTACCGCGTATTCACATGAATGAGTGGAACACATCGAGCCGATCGGAGCTGGGACGCTCGCCCGAATGCCAGACCCGCGTACTATCGTCAGCCATCATTCGAAGATACCAGGCTTGACTGATTTTAAGTGAAGTCCTCCGAGAATTGGGCAATGATTCCAGGATCGCATCCTCGTATCGTCGCACTCGATACGGATTAAGGGCCGAGCAGCGAGTCCGGGTGATCCTTCACGGTTGAAGGAGAATCATCTGTTCCTCAGCAGATCACCGCGGAATGTACAGGCAGAGCTGTATATCCTTGATGGCTGTTAAAAATTCTTCCTCAGAATCAGATTGCGTCGAACTCATGGAAGGAACGACGGGAATGAAAAGTTCCGCTGTTGATCTCGGTATCGGAGCTGATACGGTGGCGGATCCAGGAGTCCTCCAGGGGGGGGGGCGTTCAATGCGTCGAGGGAGGGGCGGATTGATACCTGGGACCTCCTATATGATGGGGAGCATAGGAAGTCTCGAGGGGGCGGGCGATCGCCCGACAGCCCCCCCCCCCTCGGATCCGCCACAGAGCTGATTCAAGGTTTTCTCTCTCGAACGACTCGAGACTCCGCGGATCCCGTGTCCCGAGCTGTCAATGGCGACTCCGGTACTGCAGTCAAACACGTCTAGCCATGAGACGAGCCGAGCGCGACTCGTCACCCCAGCCTTTCAAGCTCTCCGGCTCGTCTCCGAGTGCCGCTCCACGACCACCGGAGAGCCACTCAAGCAAGCTTGGTGGAAGCGTTGAGATAGAGATGATGAACGCTGCGCTGCGTCCAGAGGATAGAAGATCGGCAGGAAAATTTTCATGCTATATTTCTGAAAAAAAAATTTCATGGACTATCGGCGCAGCAATGCTCACGGGAGGCGTTGACCTGATGTTCTTTGAGTACAGCTCACTTACTGATCGCGTGTGAAGTCATTCGACTAGAGCAAATCGATCTGATCATGTGAGGATCATCCGCCGGTGGACTGTTGATTGACGCTCGGTGCAAATTGCCCTCGCCTTCGCTCACCGATGTTCAAGCGCTGGCTTGTTGTAAGTGGAACTTGATTCTGTCATTGGCGACCCTCACATCAGGCTTCAATAAGCACGGATCGGGGTCGCACTAGGTAAGAATATCGCGAGCAAGCGAGCGGCATGTTCGACCACACACGCTTGTGAACGAGTTGTCGCCGCCTCCATCGTTCGTTTGTCGCCTTGTTCTGTCCACTGAACTAACAAGTGTCAGACTGCGTATTGTATCCAAGAAAAACCATGCTCGAGCGCCTCGTGCTGGTGGCGACTATTTGCGGATTTTTTTCCGGTAAGTTTCAACCTCTCAATAGACTCATTGACCCCATCGAGGACGAGCAGTCGATGAGTAAACTCACGGTCAGCAACTCGTTCTCGCCGGCGATCGCATCTCGTCAATGTCGTCGATCAGACATGGACTCCTTGCATGTCTCTCGCAATACCCTCGAGTCGTCACGAAACCGCGCACAACTCTATGATTCTTCTGGACCTCTGGACATATCAGCGTCCCCAGCCGGTTCTACTCGTTGAGAGACTCTCGATGAAACTCTGCATGATATTTCGGTTGATTGCGACCCGAAGTGTGGAGATTTCCAGGCTGAGAACGCTTGGAAACTCAAACGCCCATTCATCGGAGGGCGACTCCTAAAGCTTGCCCCATTCGTTATCAGCATGATGGATTCGTGAACCGATTCAGGGCTCGGAGCGGAACCCGAGTCTCGAACAATCCCTCCGAATGTAGACTGGAATAATTCTGATGCAATCAGGACTCCTACACTCGACTCTTGGAAATAGCGCACACATCCCGAGGAACCTGATGACGAGTATTCGCGACGGGAGACCTTGTCAACAGTCCTCGGAGGCGGTTTGCAAGCCCCCTTCCGGTCGCATCGCCTTTAGCTGAGAGGGAATACATCAGAGGTTTCTTGTTTCAGTGCCGTCATCCTGTAACGCCCAAGCGACCTACAACACGACGCAATTGGAGCGGTGGACATCGATAGTCATTCAGAGATGCAGCGATCGTTTGGCTCGCGTTTTCGAGGGATTCGGGCCGACGATTTTGGAGCGACTTCAGGAGAACTATGAATTCCAGATGACACACCTTCCCGACATGGACCCCGAGCTCGCTTTGATGGTGGGTAGATCCTTCAGAGAAAATTGCCAATTTCCGGCCAGCGTCTGCACGGTCCTGCATTCGTGCCTAAAATGATCTCTCCCCTAGTATTCCTTGACCCGGAGTCAGCGAATAATTTTCCTTGTTCCTTATTACTTACCGCCATCCCACAGGCCCGCAGCATGACGTTGTTCGAGTTCTGGCTCTTAGCCTACGGTCAGCTGACAGTGCAGTCACGCGTGCATTCAGAATTGGCGTGCCACAGTGTACTCTGTGGTGAAGAGTGGAGATCGAATCCGGTAGGTTGCATCGCTTCGTTGCTGTGCCCTTGCCACCCGTTACATTTTCGGCCGATGATAATCGGGACGGGCGCAGCCGTCAACGTCGCAAACACGAGCAATAACATCTCATCACCAGCACGTTTCCGACGGTCCCGAAATTGAGCCAATTTTCTGACGAAACTGGGTCCATGACGACCTGGAGTCTCGCATCGATAGGGCTCCAGTGTCTCCTTGATATTCAGTGATGCAACTCCTCGTGGAAATGACGGCTCTTCTGTCTGAACAATCGGACGGCTTCGCCACAGGAATCGAACCCTGACCTCATTGTCGTTTCAGGTTTATGTGACTGTGGACGATGGCGTTCCGTGCATGATGAGTGGTCGTTCTGGGAATTGTGAAAACGGAGTTTGTACATCGGATCGGAGTGCGTTCCTATAGCGCACTCCATGAGCTCGGAGTTGACTCTGAACAACTCCAAATTGTATTCAATGTAGATAAAAGCCACTGTTGAGTTGAATAGGGAAATCCTGAATCAGCGTTCTCTCTGCGCGATGACCCGTCCACATGGGGTTAGGGCTCGTAGAATAAGAAGTATGAAGAAATCAATTGCGGCTCACGTACTCCCCTAAAGAGAATCGCGAGCGCTACAAAAACCGAGCAGGTATTCAGACGAATGAATCCAGACGAAAATCGAGCTCTCACGACTCGCGACAGTGAATCCAAGCACGGTAACAGAACTCGTATCAATTTGACCGATTTTCAGGGAAGATTGTGTTCTCGCAGAGACTATTCGATTAGAAAGCATCAAACTGTCTGAAAATCGCACGGAAAACTCCTCTCTCGCGAAGCAGAGTCTGATAGCTGACTGGTGCCGTGAGTCTTCATTGAAGGCGTTCCGCTCGAGTGCTGGGAGGTCGCTCGGTGTATCATCCATCGAGCATGTGAATGACTCCTACACTCATAGTTTGGTCGCAAGCGTTGACTTCATTCTCTGGTTTAGGTTGCCAGCTCTATTTTCCGTTGTCTAGCTTTGTCATCGTGGCTCTCTCATGCCATGCGTTTCTCTCTCGTCCTCCGAGCCTGTGGGGTCTCGATCGACACCTCATCGAGCACAATAGTTGCGGCATTTTCCAAACGACGACCACACCTCGAGTCGCTGAACCTCAAAAGACTGTCGGCAGCCCGTGACAATGCAGCAAAAGGCTCAAATTGCACACTCTGTTCTCTGCCGTACGAACTGACTCCGGCCGCCACCACCTCCGAGATTGTCGGCTTGCTCCCTGAGCCCGCCGGCTAGCTGTCTTCTTTTCGCTGTTCCGCTCAAAGGAGCGTACAATGAGAGGTGACATCGCATTATGCTGGAGAAGCTCCCGACTTCCTCGAGCTTCTACATCGCAACAAGCGCTCGAATCCTAAGCCGGCTTTGAGCTTGAAATGTTGCGCATAAATATGTTGACACCGAAATCAGAATCCGCTCGATCGACGGAATATCCAGAGCAGCGAGAGTTCGAGCGCGAGAATCGCAGCTCGACGGAATCGACTCCGTGACGTCGATTGAGACCCGCGGTCATCCGGTGGGCCGCAGAAGAACCGTTCAAAACACACGGAAGCAATATCAATATCCCAGAGACGTCTCGGAATATGGTGAGGTGCTCTCCAGCAAGGCAAGCTCGTCCCGATCCGGAACACAATCAACCGCGATATCGGTACCGCAAGTGATCGTCGGGACGTTTCTTTCTTCCGATGCAGTTCCGCGAGCGTGAACGTTTTTCATGCCATGATGCAACCCAACAACTCTGCTGCTCGAATCCTCAACTAGGAGACGATCCAGGCTGCCGCTGTTTCACCTGGTTGATTTGTCGCTCGTCTGGCTGGTTTCTTGCGAGCGTGTTTATGCGTCGTCTCTCTCACTGCAGAATGGAACAGAGAGCGTTCGTTCATTCTCGTGCGCGGCCGGAACGAATGTTCCAAAAACGATGGCCGCCGACTAGCGACCATCGCTGTACATACACCCCGCCAGTGGACCCCGGGACAGATTTACCGATTCGTCGCACATACGCCAGAAGGCTACATCGCTCGATGTCTTGTTGCTCGCCCGTCAGCCAGCCAGCCAGGCAACCAACTCGATCTAACTTGACGCCGCAGAGCCAAATGTAGGCTTGCTTGCCAGCTAACTTGCTGGTTGGTCGTGCAGTCGTTCTCGCCTTGACTTTCTGTTCACAAAGAACAACATATGAACGAGCGTCTCCGTGCATGCAATATGTGTGACTGTCTGCGGCCGGCTGGTCGGGTGCCCGCTCACCGGCTTCGCCTATCGGTTTGTTGGCTAGCGGAGTTCCGATGTTTCCTCAATAAAGCGACTCTAATCCTCTAAAAGAGCGTGAGGGATCGGATTTCGGCACACAAACACACGCATGTTATCGTCGCCATCCTCACCGCTGTCGTGCCTATTACGAATTTTACCGTAACAACACTTCCTCCGGTACGAGTGAATTGTCGAGCCAATTTTCTTCCATCATCATCGGAACGCTGCTGGTCACAGCACTTAGCGGGATCATAATCGGAAGAGGTGTGCTCACCATCAATCGAGTGAAACAGATCTATATCGGAGAACGCTTATTCTCAGTACAAAAGTGTATGCGAGGTTTTAATTGATTCGTCAGAGAGGTGCGAGGAGACGTGACGCTCATCTTATTTCGTCAATCTCAAGCCCTTGTGTTCACCACAGCAACATAGTGACGTAGGTATGATGGGTTATGGATTGACGTTTCGAATCAAAATGTTCCCTAATTGGATATTCCCATCGTATGGAAGGGGGAGATCTGAGACGAGAGCGAATCGCTGGAGCGCTTATAGGGTATCCAAACACCGTGGAACTCTAGCAGGCGCTTACCTGAGAGTTTCTCGGATTTAGTTTAGAGTCTCTCATGGTCTGCTGGTCGCCCCAACGGCCCAAATCAGGAGGTTGCAGAGGACTCGCATATGAAGAATCCTCCTTGGGGATTTCCGAGAATCGCCTCGAGGAAGATACTTCAATGTCTACAATCAGGATGTCGGAACGGCATTGAGTAGCACAAAGCATCATGGTTGGGGAAAAGGGGAATTTGTCTACGAAGGGAACTTTCCCTGAAGGAGAAGGTTTAAAAAGTTCATTTATTGGTCTGAAGCGCGTGATGAGCTAGTAGTGCTTCGAGAATCGAGTCTAGTGATCCGGCTTCATTCATGGCGCGCAGGAATCGTAAAATACGTAGGATAAACCTTCGATCGAGCAATCGCTTCAATCGAACGGAACCCCTCTTTTGCGCTCAATTTTGCGGCGGAATAGAAGTCTGCGATTCTCGGCGGAGTCAATACTGGATACCAGCATCTCAATCTTATCCTCTCACTGCATCGCCTCCGGCTCGCAGCGTCAGTCGACGGTATTCTGGCATCGATGCCCGTCGGTCCGAGGGGCCTCGCGACCGATCCAACGCCGTCCCGCGCGTCACTGATAGTTTAGCAACG